CCGGTATATAGAACATCTTTTTATACGGAGTTTGTCTCCGTACATTCTTACTCGGACGGTATCTGTTAGTCCCACAGAATTTACACCTAACCAATTCTTTTTCTTCACCCCAGTACAGCATGCAACCATTTTTGCAAACATCAATCTTTTCATAAGGCATTCCCAAATTCTTCAACATAGCCTTCGTATCATAATACGATTCTGGAGCTTCGTTATTTTCAGGTAAATATTCACGCAACGTTTGACAAAATGAATCCATGCAACTTTCGGTGACATTGTAATCCGTTTTCATACTCATCAATCTTGATGCAAGAGATAAACGTGACTGACCTTCTTTACATCCTTCATAGATACGATGATTTGCCATATCCAACATGTCGAAAAACCGTTTTGTTTCGACGTTTGGCTCCTCCTGATCTTGTGATGAGTTTTGCTCAGCCAATGCCCCAGGAAAAGCATCTGTCACCATTTCAACATAAGGATTTCTTACATCTTCATCTACATCATACCTCTGCTCGGCCGAGACATGTTGTCTTGTTGTGATTGTCTGAACTTCTTCTCCATGAAATCGCCAAATATAATAATCTTCGACAAATCTCCTTCGAAATAGATGTTTACAAACATCTTCTGGACTGCGATATTTAAAATTGCGACAACTTGTACATGGACATAGCATTTTTCCACGTTCTTGACACAACGGCTGCATAGAAGCAAAATTCATAAACTGTTCCAAACCGTTAATGAATTCTTGCGTTACTTCTTTTGTAATCGAATCAACTCTTTCGTATATCCACTGCCGGGACGAACGAATATTCGGATTTTTTGAAGATGTCATTTTTAGGAGAATTTTTGGTAAAAGAATACTATAAGAGTGATTTAGAGAGTGGTTTGGGCGAACTATGGCCGGGTGCTTTAAATAGAGAAACTTTCCAACGGATATCCGTTGGAAATCCGTTGAAAAGTTTGTTACCATTACACTTGCCAACGGATATCCGTCGGAATTATTGCCGCGTTTCATAACGTTCGGATAATTTCAACGGATTGCCGTTGAAATTCGTCGAACGTTATTTCCAACGGAAATCCGTTGGAATATACGTGGAAATTTTCACACTCAAATATATGTTGATATGCCGTTGGAAATTTCCAACGGATTTCTAACAGACGAATCCGTTAGACGTCCGTTGGAAAGCCGTTAGAAATGCGTTGGAATTATTCAAACGGTATGCCGTTGGAAATCCGTTGGAAAAATTCCAACGGATTAATCCGTTGGAATTTCGCATTTTTTTTGTAGTGTATAATACAATCCCTTATATTAACAACTAGGGACCAGGGACCACCTCATACGTTAGGGAATAGGCATGGATCCAAAGTGTTGCTTATGCGGAGGGGTTGATGAAACGCATGATCACTTATTTCTGCGTTGTCCTTACAGCACATCGCTCTGGAACGATTTTGCAGGACGATGCTGGAGAGACCCGCCGACGGGGATGGCGGATTGCGTGGCATGGATCATGTCGGATGCCAATAATACCACAAGGGAGGGGCTGGTTATTGTGAAACTCCTCTTGCTGACGGTGACTTACATGATTTGGTGGGAACGTAACAATCGCACCTTCAAGAATGAGTCTAACTCATTGGAAAAGGTACGATGGAAACTTGATAAGGCCATACGGAACATCTTGTTGTCTTTGCGGTTGGAAAGAATGAGAATATCATGCTCACTTCTGGAGAATTGGTACTATCTTATGCGGCAACCAACGAGTTAGGACTGATATTTTGCTCTTGAATGTCTTTGTACTTTTGACCATTTGCAATGGAAATTCTTTGTAATTTTTCATTTCGGTTGACAGGTTAAATACCTGGTTGTAACAATCTCTGAACTTTTGATATATACACAATCACATTAAACCAAAAAAAAAACTAGTTGTTGTTGAAACAAATTCTAACTAAACCCATTAATCTTAGTTCTAATAACAAAGAGAGAAACATATCAAGGGGCGTCCATGAATCTCTCTTTGTTTTGTCTGTTTTCTTGTAACAATTTTCTCATCTCCCTATTATTAGATAAATCAAATAAAAAAAAAATTATATAAACACCTTCCACCCCAACGTACCAATTCGCAATCCCTTCACATCTTTTCTTTATTTTTGTGTTTTTTTTAATTTTATATTATTCAATAGTCTCATCAATCGATACAACCATGGCAAGGATTTCTATGTTGTTCTCTCTCGCCTTCGCCCTCGCCGTGGCCTCCGTCTCCGGCCACTCCTCGGCCTCGGCCTCAGTCAAGAAAGGCCAATACTCTCCTCCATGCACAGTGGAACAACTCAAGACCTTACCCTTTGTCCAGATCAAGAAATTCATCGATTTGAAATCGAGTTCTGTCCTAAAAACACCTGCCTTGTCTTCGACATTCTCCGCCTGCAAGGACTACACCTCGTTCCTGGCCGAGTTCTCGAAGCGTGGAGACTTCGAGTTCGCCTTCCATGGCCTGGTTTCGGCCATATGGAAGGCGAAATTCCTGGCCATGAGGCAATCGCTCTTGGCCGTTCAGACGGGTTTCGGCGTGGGAGGGAAGGCATCTCTGCAACTGAAGAAGAACTACGAGGGAATGGTGAATGGATTCGCAGTGATTCCGGCCAAGATCGCGGAGATATCCGCCAGGCATCAGTTCAAGGCCAGAGCTAAGCTCACCGTCCAAGAGAAGAAAGAGTTCGCCGCCGTTTTCGGATCGTTCAAGAAGTGCTTCAACAGTTACATTGACGCCATTGCCAAGTTCTCCGACAAGAAGCATGTTTCTGCCGGAGGTATATATACATATATACAAAATGAGACGTTAAATACATTATATAGATATTTGACATCTTCTTGAATATTCTCGATATCTCTTACACAGGACAACTGGGAGGACAGATCGGGAAACACTTGATCGGGAACGGAAACTTCTTTCCGGGGATCGGAGGCAAAGCTGAGTTCTCGGCCTCGGCCTCGGGAAAGGTCAACGTCCATGGGAAGAAGAAGAAGAAGAAGCCTCATCACTAGAGGAGGATTATCAATCTTGGCCGGAGGAAGATGGATTCTAAAGGTCATTGAAGCGTCCGTACGAGAAACATATTTGGATGAGTTGAAGGCTTATAAAATGCCATATTCAACAACAGACGTAGGAGCCATGGGTTCATCTACTTATATTCTTTTATTTGTTTTTTTTTTCCCTCCTAATAAGGAAGGGACACGGCGAGCCATGATATGATTTCACAAATTTGTAACCATTTTAATGCAATATTCCAATGACGTCAATCAATAAATATATATAAGCAAGAAAATGAGAAAACTTAACTTACAATGGGTAGGGTAAGAAATAAGCTAAAACTATGGTTACATGGTTACGACTTTACGGTTCGGTGAAAATGTTATAAAAAAATAAAAATCGTGAATTATGACGAGGGATGATGACCATCTTCAAATTAACCAAAATAAATAGGCTTGAAATAATTTTGTTTCGGGACGGGTTTTATAGAAATATTATTTTTGTCTTTGTCTCGCAACATCCGGATCCATCGCGAGTTTGAAAGATAACTCAACAAATCATGAGTTGACTTGCCAATCAAGGTGTTTTTTTAACATTTTTTTATATTTAAATTTGTATATTTTATAGAACGTTAATACTTAATTTATTTTTTATTAATATTTTAATATTTAAAATTAATATTAAAATATCATTTTATTCGATTTTTATATTATAAACAAAAATATTATATTTATTTTTGACTTGCGAACATATCCATTTAGCTCAAAAAATTAATGAGTCGAAATCTGACTCAGTTAAACTCATGATGGAACCGATTTGTTTAACACCCTAATTTTAAGTCGAAAAACTCAGAAATGAAATGTTGTACGTACTTCGGTAGAATTATGCAAAGTGAGAGACCAAACTCTTATTTATTTCTTAAATTAAATTTCTTACCCATCTCTAATTGAAGGTCTTGTTTTTTTTCTTTGGTTAAAGAATTAATATTTTGTTAAATTGAAGGTCTTGTTGTATGTTCAATATCTTATATATATATATATGTCAATGAAAATGATGATCATCATATAATACAATCCCTTATATTAACAACTACGGACCAGGGACCGCCTCATACGTTGGGGAATGTGCATGGATCCAAAGTGTTGCTTACGCAGAGGGGTTGATGAAACGCATGATCACTTATTTCTGCGTTGTCCTTACAGCACATCGCTCTGGAACGATTTTGCAGGACGATGCTGGAGAGACCCGCCGACGGGGATGGCGGATTGCGTGGCATGGATCATGTCGAATGCCAATAATACCACAAGGGACGGGCTGGTTATTGTGAAACTCCTCTTGCTGACGGTGACTTACATGATTTGGTGGGAACGTAACAATCGCACCTTCAAGAATGAGTCTAACTCATTGGAAAAGGTACGATGGAAACTTGATAAGGCCACACGGAACATCTTGTTGTCTTTGCGGTTGGAAAGAATGAGAATATCATGCTCACTTCTGGAGAATTGGTACTATCTTATGCGGCAACCAACGAGTTAGGACTGATATTTTGCTCTTGAATGTCTTTGTACTTTTGACCATTTGCAATGAGAATTCCTTGTAATTTTTCATTTCGGTTGACAGGTTAAATACCTGGTTGTAACAATCTCTGAACTTTTGATATATACACAATCACATTAAACCAAAAAAAAAACTAGTTGTTGTTGAAACAATTTCTAACTAAACCCATTAATCTTAGTTCTAATAACAAAGAGAGAAACATTTCAAGGGGCGTCCATGAATCTCTCTTTGTTTTGTCTGTTTTCTTGTAACAATTTTCTCATCTCCCTATTATTAGATAAATCAAATAAAAAAATTTATATAAACACCTTCCACCCCAACGTACCAATTCGCAATCCCTTCACATCTTTTCTTTATTTTTGTGGTTTTTTTTTAATTTTATATTATTCAATAGTTTCATCAATCGATACAACCATGGCAAGGATTTCTATGTTGTTCTCTCTCGCCTTCGCCCTCGCCGTGGCCTCCGTCTCCGGCCACTCCTCGGCCTCGGCCTCAGTCAAGAAAGGCCAATACTCTCCTCCATGCACAGTGGAACAACTCAAGACCTTACCCTTTGTCCAGATCAAGAAATTCATCGATTTGAAATCGAGTTCTGTCCTAAAAACACCTGCCTTGTCTTCGACATTCTCCGCCTGCAAGGACTACACCTCGTTCCTGGCCGAGTTCTCGAAGCGTGGAGACTTCGAGTTCGCCTTCCATGGCCTGGTTTCGGCCATATGGAAGGCGAAATTCCTGGCCATGAGGCAATCGCTCTTGGCCGTTCAGACGGGTTTCGGCGTGGGAGGGAAGGCATCTCTGCAACTAAAGAAGAACTACGAGGGAATGGTGAATGGATTCGCAGTGATTCCGGCCAAGATCGCAGAGATATCCGCCAGGCATCAGTTCAAGGCCAGAGCTAAGCTCACCGTCCAAGAGAAGAAAGAGTTCGCCGCTGTTTTCGGATCGTTCAAGAAGTGCTTCAACAGTTACATTGACGCCATTGCCAAGTTCTCCGACAAGAAGCATGTTTCTGCCGGAGGTATATATACATATATACAAAATGAGACGTTAAATACATTATATAGATATTTGACATCTTCTTGAATATTCTCGATATCTCTTACACAGGACAACTGGGAGGACAGATCGGGAAACACTTGATCGGGAACGGAAACTTCTTTCCGGGGATCGGAGGCAAAGCTGAGTTCTCGGCCTCGGCCTCGGCCTCGGGAAAGGTCAACGTCCATGGGAAGAAGAAGAAGAAGAAGCCTCATCACTAGAGGAGGATTATCAATCTTGGCCGGAGGAAGATGGATTCTAAAGGTCATTGAAGCGTCCGTACGAGAAACATATTTGGATGAGTTGAAGGCTTATAAAATGCCATATTCAACAACAGACGTAGGAGCCATGGGTTCATCTACTTGTATTCTTTTATTTGTTTTTTTTCCCCTCCTAATAAGGAAGGGACACGGCGAGCCATGATATGATTTCGCAAATTTGTAACCATTTTAATGCAATATTCCAATGACGTCAATCAATAAATATATATAAGCAAGAAAATGAGAAAACTTAACTTACAATGGGTAGGGTAAGAAATAAGCTAAAACTATGGTTACATGGTTACGACTTTACGGTTCGGTGAAAATGTTATAAAAAAATAAAAATCGTGAATTATGACGAGGGATGATGACCATCTTCAAATTAACCAAAATAAATAGGCTTGAAATAATTTTGTTTCGGGATGGGTTTTATAGAAATATTATTTTTGTCTTTGTCTCGCAATATCCGGATCCATCGCGAGTTTGAAAGATAACTCAACAAATCATGAGTTGACTTGCTAATCAAGGTGTTTTTTTAACATTTTTTTATATTTAAATTTGTATATTTTATAGAACGTTAATACTTAATTTATTTTTTATTAATATTTTAATATTTAAATTTAATATTAAAATATCATTTTATTCGATTTTTATATTATAAACAAAAATATTATATTTATTTTTGACTTGCGAACATATCCATTTAGCTCAAAAAATTAATGAGTCGAAATCTGACTCAGTTAAACTCATGATGGAACCGATTTGTTTAATACCCTAATTTTAAGTCGAAAAATGTTGTACGTACTTCGGTAGAATTATGCAAAGTGAGAGACCAAACTCTTATTTATTTCTTAAATTAAATTTCTTACCCATCTCTAATTGAAGGTCTTGTTTTTTTTTCTTTGGTTAAAGAATTAATATTTTGTTAAATTGAAGGTCTTGTTGTATGTTCAATATCTTATATATATATATGTCAATGAAAATGATGATCATCATATAATACAATCCCTTATATTAACAACTAGGGACCAGGGACCGCCTCATACGTTGGGGAATGGGCTTGGATCCAAAGTGTTGCTTATGCGGAGGGGTTGATAAAACGCATGATCACTTATTTCTTCGTTGTCCTTACAGCACATCGCTCTGGAACGATTTTGCAGGACGATGCTGCAGAGACCCGCCGACGGGGATGGCGGATTGCGTGGCATGGATCATGTCGGATGCCAATAATACCACAAGGGACGGGCTGGTTATTGTGAAACTCCTCTTGCTGACGGTGACTTACATGATTTGGTGGGAACGTAACAATCGCACCTTCAGGAATGAGTCTAACTCATTGGAAAAGGTACGATGGAAACTTGATAAGGCCATACGGAACATCTTGTTGTCTTTGCGGTTGGAAAGAATGAGAATATCATGCTCACTTCTGGAGAATTGGTACTATCTTATGCGGCAACCAACGAGTTAGGACTGATATTTTGCTCTTGAATGTCTTTGTACTTTTGACCATTTGCAATGAGAATTCCTTGTAATTTTTCATTTCGGTTGACAGGTTAAATACCTGGTTGTAACAATCTCTGAACTTTTGATATATACACAATCACATTAAACCAAAAAAAAAACTAGTTGTTGTTGAAACAATTTCTAACTAAACCCATTAATCTTAGTTCTAATAACAAAGAGAGAAACATTTCAAGGGGCGTCCATGAATCTCTCTTTGTTTTGTCTGTTTTCTTGTAACAATTTTCTCATCTCCCTATTATTAGATAAATCAAATAAAAAAATTTATATAAACACCTTCCACCCCAACGTACCAATTCGCAATCCCTTCACATCTTTTCTTTATTTTTGTGGTTTTTTTTTAATTTTATATTATTCAATAGTTTCATCAATCGATACAACCATGGCAAGGATTTCTATGTTGTTCTCTCTCGCCTTCGCCCTCGCCGTGGCCTCCGTCTCCGGCCACTCCTCAGCCTCGGCCTTAGTCAAGAAAGGCCAATACTCTCCTCCATGCACAGTGGAACAACTCAAGACCTTACCCTTTGTCCAGATCAAGAAATTCATCGATTTGAAATCGAGTTCTGTCCTAAAAACACCTGCCTTGTCTTCGACATTCTCCGCCTGCAAGGACTACACCTCGTTCCTGGCCGAGTTCTCGAAGCGTGGAGACTTCGAGTTCGCCTTCCATGGCCTGGTTTCGGCCATATGGAAGGCGAAATTCCTGGCCATGAGGCAATCGCTCTTGGCCGTTCAGACGGGTTTCGGCGTGGGAGGGAAGGCATCTCTGCAACTGAAGAAGAACTACGAGGGAATGGTGAATGGATTCGCAGTGATTCCGGCCAAGATCGCGGAGATATCCGCCAGGCATCAGTTCAAGGCCAGAGCTAAGCTCACCGTCCAAGAGAAGAAAGAGTTCGCCGCCGTTTTCGGATCGTTCAAGAAGTGCTTCAACAGTTACATTGACGCCATTGCCAAGTTCTCCGACAAGAAGCATGTTTCTGCCGGAGGTATATATACATATATACAAAATGAGACGTTAAATACATTATATAGATATTTGACATCTTCTTGAATATTCTCGATATCTCTTACACAGGACAACTGGGAGGACAGATCGGGAAACACTTGATCGGGAACGGAAACTTCTTTCCGGGGATCGGAGGCAAAGCTGAGTTCTCGGCCTCGGCCTCGGGAAAGGTCAACGTCCATGGGAAGAAGAAGAAGAAGAAGCCTCATCACTAGAGGAGGATTATCAATCTTGGCCGGAGGAAGATGGATTCTAAAGGTCATTGAAGCATCCTTACGAGAAACAGATTTGGATGAGTTGAAGGCTTATAAAATGCCATATTCAACAACAGACGTAGGAGCCATGGGTTCATCTACTTATATTCTTTTATTTGTTTTTTTTCCCTCCTAATAAGGAAGGGACACGGCGAGCCATGATATGATTTCACAAATCTGTAACCAATTTAATGGGGGATATAGATATAATATCCTCTCAATGCTACAATCACTTCCTCCTATACCCTCTAAACAAAAAGTCAAAAAAAAGGTATTAATCATGACAAAAAAGACCATAAAACCTCATACAATAAGGTAAAGACAAAAACACCCCTCCTTTTTCAATTAAAAATATTCAAAATTAAAAAAAAAGTAAAGTTAAAAAACAATAATGGCTTTCTCTCTCCTAACACTCTGTTCATCTTCTTCCTTCTACCAAATCGTGAGCTTCTCTCTCTCAAAACTCTCATTCTACCATCGATTAGTGACATAAATCCTGATTTCTCTTTAGAAATTTCTGTTTCTCTTCAAATCTCCAGTGAAATTAGAGAGTTGAAGAAGATATGGCGTCGAGAGCGAAGCACAACTTCAAATCATCGGTGGCCTCATCTTCATCTTTCTCCGAAAGTGAGAACCGTAAGCAAATTTCAGAGTTAAAAGAACAAATGGTAGGTTAAACAAACACTTTCTCATCAATTTTGTTGGATTTTGAAATGTATTGTTGTTGAGTTGAAGTTTGGATTTTGGGTTTTGTAAGTAGAAATATATGGTTTTAGGTTTATGAAATTTTGGGAATTTCGAAATAGAATATTGTGTTTCTGAAATGTTGGGAATTTCGAAATAGAATATTGGGTTTTAAGTGAAATAATTGATTGGCATGTGAAATGATTTAAATCGAGTTAAATGAGTCAGTTTGGACCACATGGTGATTTAGTACAATTAAATGGGTAACTGTATCATATGGGTCGATATATAGATGTATGAATGACATGATGATTTGAGTCACATGGTCACAGGGTTACAGTGTCATATAGGTCACATTGTGGTATGGTCACAAGGTCACATCTTCATATAGATTACAGGATTACAGGTCATATGGTGGTATGGTCACAAAGTCATCTCTTCATATACGTCACAGGGTCAACGGTCACATGGTACCATGTCACACGGTCACATGGTACCATGTCACATGGTCACATGGATTTTGAAACATGATCCAGAATGCTAACATATATTTTTTTTGTAGCGCATTGAGGAGATAATATATAAGATACGACTCTGCGTTTTATAGAATTCGGTGACTTAAATAGGAAGCAATTATATGGTTAATGACACTATTTTCACGGAGCACATCAAGTGGTGGAAAAAATGAGGCGACTTGCCAATTTTAATTTGGGCGATCTCGGGCCCTACTTCAAAGGACATCTTCCACTTGGATGTGCAAGAACATCGTTGACTAACTTTTATTTCAGCTAATAATTATCTCTTTTTTTATGAACATTAAGTATAACATTCTTTTATTTGTTTATTAGAATACTAAGTTATAATTTTTTATGCTTTTTGTTTATTTATATATGAAACTGTTTATAGAGTTAATAAAATATAGGTTGAAAATAGTAAACAAATGGATCCCACCGAAACTCTAAATTGTCAACCGTAACTTTTCTACACACTTGGATGATACTAGACTCCACTAGAAATATTGCATGTAAAAATTTTGGAGGAAAAATTGTTAGAGAACACAATTTGGATTTAGGTATTTTAAACTCAAACTATTATCATGTTCACATGGTCACATGAGACCATATTGGTATGGTCACATGGTACCATATTCATATGGCCACATAGTACCATGTTTACATGGTCACATGGTGTCATGGTGTCATGGTACCATGGTATCACGGTGCCATCTATTTTCATGGAATTAAGAGTATACTAAAGAAGGAAGCGTTTGACGAAGTACTTCTTTTTTATTTGGAGGAATTGACATCATCGAGTTCATGACTTGAAAATTCGTTCGACAAAGTCTTCTAAGAAGAAGAAGAAGGGAAAAGGTCTGATAAATGAAGAAGAAGTAGAAGATGAGCGAGCAAAAGAAGACGAAGAACAACAATTATATGTGATGACAATGTCACCAAGATGTGTGAGCAGTTGACAGCCGTCATATTTGTCAATAG